CGTTTTGTTTAAAAGGTATCGAAATTATATCTTTCAATGATGAAATTTTGATGCATAGTCTCTTTGGCTTGCCGCATAAGCTAATAGAGTAGTTTTTATTTTATTTTATTGTTATTGCTTAGATGGGTAGACGAGCTCACAGCCCACCTGGTTTTAGGTGGTTACTGGAGCCCATAGACATTTACAATGTATGTATGTAATTTGAGATGTAAGTCTCTTAGGCTCTAGTATTAGTTACAAAAAGTGTTAGTCGTGAACATGAATGTGCCATTCGTAAATTCATGAATTTTGTAAGTAATATTTCACAAAAGATAGTGGTACCAGCCTGCGCGAATGCGAAGCACTGCTTGCGTCGCTAAATACGAATGCCACGCGCTCGTCTTATCTTTTACGCACGCAACTCAGTTTCGAGATATAATTATTCGAGATGTCTAACGTAACGGCCGTCTGGTGTAGTGGTAAGTGACATGGTCACTACACAAGGGGGTCGCGGGTTCGAATCCCGCCAAGGGAAGATATTTGTATGATAAATATAAATGTATTTTCCAGGGTTATGGATGTATATTAAATATATGTATGTGTATAATAAAAATCTTACATTTATTTCCGTTATCTGGTACCTGTAACACAAGTTCTTTATGAACTTATCACGGGACCAGTTAACGTGCCGTGATTGTTAGTAAATATTTATTTATTATTTATTTATTTATTTATTATTTATTTATTATTTATTTATTATTTATTTATTATTTATTTATTATTTATTTATTATTTATTTATTTATTATTTATTTATTATTTATTTATTATTTATTTATTATTTATTTATTATTTATTTATTATTTATTTATTATTTATTATTTATTTATTTATTATTATTTAAATGTCAAACATTATCAAAAAAAAAAAGTATACTAAGTTTAACATGAAAAGCTTCCATCTACTTTAATGCTTAGAAGAATGAGTGAAATTGAAGAATACTGTTGAACAATAATTAGAAAAATCGTACCATTGGATACCGATCCGCTGGGATTCGTCAAAGTGACCCAGAAATTGAGCCCTTTAAGTAACCGTTTTAGCCGTTAGTGTACATTGAGAAACAAGAAATTATAATAACCCACAGAATTTGCCAGGTTCTCAGACAAGATGGTGAAGGGTTAATATTAATGACTAGTCTAGTTGTAAATTTAATAGGGTGTGCCTTAACTATCGCTCAAGAGTTTTCATCGCGACATTCTTTCACGTCTAGACAACTAAATTATAGTTGCTCGGTTAGACAATTTTAATTAGTGCTTTCTCGAAGAATACGTGCAGTAAACAACTTGAATTGTATACCTTGGTGACTACTAGACTGACTAGTCTAGACTTGTCATTTGCGAAATTTCGCTCACTCATCAACTTATTATGTGCAGTTGAATAACATTATCATAGATAATAACAATAACATTGTGTTTGGTCGGTTTGACGCAAATGAGTTTTGAGTTCTAATAAACACACAAAACTTGTAACAGCTAAATAATTTTCAGTTAAAATCATTTATTATTATAAAGACCTTATCTCCATTGAATTGGCCATTTATAAAACTAACATTGATAGCTGTTTTGTTAAAGTTAGCTCTTATATTTTGTAGTGCTAAAGCATACAAGCCTAAAATGTTAATGATCTTTTCCGTATATTTTTAATTTAAAATGAAACTTACCAGTCACTTTTGAGTTCAAGAAATAAGGATCGGGATGCCACAGATTGTCGAAGAATTCTGGAGGCAGGGTGACGTGGTCGTCTCCCTCTTCAAATATATCTTCGGGCAGCTGCAGCCGACTCTCACTCCAAGTCTGTCTTATGAACATATCCACACTGAAAAAGAACATTATGCTAACATTTATTTAGACTGTCCACAAATTTACAAAACAAAATTCTAAGAAGTAATTGAAATACTTATTTTATATAAGCTTCGCAAACAAAGGAAAATTATGGAACTAGTAATAAGCTACTTAGGTATTAGAGCAAGCGCTATAATTGTAATTAAATAATTAATCAATGAGCGTACCCGAAATTTATTGTAAGACCATTTTCAATTTCAAATTAATTTTGAACATAATTGAAATCCTCGAAAGACCAAGTCGAAGATTTGAAAATATAAATAGTTCTGGATATAACAATTGTAATTTACGTTTAAAACTTAAGTTAAAAAATTCAACCAGCATCTCTGTTAAGGCACCAATTACCTTTCTAGTAATTAGAATTCTTCGTTAGCTTACTTCGTATATAAAACCAAATTCCCCAACTTTTAAACTGAATCTTGTCAGCGGTGAAACTGCATTCGATATCGGTAGTAAATTCGAGCATCTGCCGTGTAACAATATGGGTTCGCTCTTCCCATCCGAGCACTCGAGTTTGCCTATTTTTTTCGGTAAAGCGGAAAAGGCCGGGCCAGCACTTCCTTCTATCCAACAAATAATCATACTCCAAACTAGTATAGACGGTTAAATGTCGGTCCAATGGATTCAGAATTTCAAAATCAAATTTTAAAGTGAACGGTTGTTTGTAACATTATGTCCACGGGCCTCAGCGTCTGCACCAGCAATTCAGCCAATATTCCAATTAAAAGAATTCTATTTAAAATGTATTTTAAAATATGTGTAATTGAAATAAAAACTTTAAATATTAAACGAGATCTAGGAGACCGTAGCCCCTAATCATTATAGTAATCTGATCTGCCAAACGTCTAGTTTATATTGAAGTTCAAAGCTATCACGAAATTTTCCAGACTTCTAACTGCAAATAATTTTGTTTATCTTTCTCAACTATCTTAATTTATTTTTTTATAAAACATAAGTAAAAAATGTTTTTATTCAATGGTCAAAATATATTTTGACTAAAATTTTAATGAAATTTTGGCTGAAAGAGTAATCCAGCGGGATGGGATTTTCGTCATGAATAGGCAGCACTGCACACATATACATATTTCTTCCTGCCGGTGGAAATATGTATATTTTTTGTACTGGAAAAAATCACCGGATTCCCACCGGCCGGCGGGTATGTGGGGGTTTATCCTCACCAAAATCTCCTGCCACTCACAGCCGCCGCCTGGACCGGGTCGGAGCCCAGTCGGGGTCATTGAAATGACGGGACAAGGTCAACGCAGAGCATATTACATCCATCCTGCTGTCCCCAAAACACCGGATGGCGGTCGTCGGGGACACGACCACCTGTTCCCTCGGTCGATGGGCCCGAAGCTCACCTTGATGACGCCGAGCTGCACTTTCCCCGCCCCAAGCCTGGGTCCCTCCCCACATAAAGCGGGTGGAACCCAAAGCTTTTAGGGGTCCGGTCCCGATCCTCTGCTCGGTGGCGGCGGATTTCTGCGTAGTGAAGAGAGCTTTTTCTCACTCGCCCCGCCGCCGCGCCGCCTCTTTATGCGAGGTAGTCCACTCACCGAAGTTGAGCATAGCCTTCCAAGACTCGTCGCCGTCAAACATTGACGCCACTACACCAGGCAGCGATAAGTCTACTTCTATCTTTGCGACCAGGACACGGCGCTGAACCTCCCAAGCGGGGCAGAGCATAGCGACTATATACTCCACCGTGCTCATGTCCAATGGTGGCATCTCGACGTCAGCTCAGTTCCTATCCGGTGCAGGTACTTCCCGAAGCATTCATGCCCGGTCAGCACCTGCGCCAGACGAAAGGGGAAATATGTATCTAACACATGTTCGCGAACTACCGTCACAATACGAGATCAACATTGTGATAATAATACCCGCAAAATTTATAAAACAAATATTTCATAGATAATCGGACGAACTTACGGCCCCTCATATTAACCTGATATTAAGTGGTACTCGATTAAGCCGCAGATATACTTTTGTTAAAAAATTCCACGTACCGGAAATCCATATCTTCGACATTGATGGAGTTCACATCAACAACGTATATACTGAACTCCACGATGACAGGCTGCCCCTTCCGAGCTGGAGGTCGCATCTCTGAAACGATTTTATTTTTTAAATTAATTATAAAATCTCTAATCTTTATTACTATTTTAATCAACAAACATAACATTTATAATCTTTAGAAGTATTTGGATTTTTGAACCATGACGTCACTGGTCAGAGGCGCCTCAATCGCCATATTCTATGAATTCCCACCACAAACTTCTCTTAACTTTATTAGTATTAAAAAACATTACCATTCAACTTCAATTATTTCAGTTTCAAGTATTCGTAAGGAAAAATTTATGACAAACATTTAAAAATATTTTTAAATATCCGCAATAGCTTTTCGCTCTGACTCTTGCGCTCTTTGCGCTCTGTATATATTTGAAAAATTGCTTCTCTTTCTTTTTAGTTGAATTTTTGGTTATTTTTTTTTATTGTATCATAAGTATTTATTGGCCACTCAGAATTTGGCTGCGTACAGCTTTATTCTGTCGCCTTTATATAGTGCTATCCAAAAATCTTCATTACATATTATATTGTATTAAATTACTTTCTGAGTTGAACGGCTCATAATAAGCATGGCAGCAGTTATTTTGCAAGACGCAATTAGCAAGATACTTGCAATTGGTAATTTGCACGTAGCAATCATGGCAACATCAAACACAAGCCGAAGAAGATTTAAAAATATTACAAATGTTCACGATTGATTTCCACGGTAAAGGAATAACATCGTGTAATAAAAGGGAAAGCCGCAATATTGTAATTTGCGTAATTACTGGTGGTAGGACCTCTTGTGAGTCCGCACGGGTGGGTACCACCACCCTGCCTATTTCTGCCGTGAAGCAGTAATGCGTTTCGGTTTGAAGGGTGGGGCAGCCGTTGTAACTATACTTGAGACCTTAGAACTTATATCTCAAGATGGGTGGCGCATTTACGTTGTGGATGTCTATGGGCTCCAGTAACCACTTAACACCAGGTGGGCTGTAAGCTCGTCCAGCCATCTAAGCAATAAAAAAATTAAAATTAAAATAGAGTGTCTAGATATGTGAACTACGTGAGTATCTTTATTATTAACCATTAGACTGGTAAACAAAGATTTTAACTTTCAAAAAAATTTCAGTCATTCAATTTAATTTATTTTAATATTGTATTTTTCAATAAACTTTGGGATAGTAATTTTAAATATATTTCCAAGATTTCTTCAAAGAGATTGAAAATTAATATCTCAATATTGATATATTTTAACTCGAAGACTGCAACTGAAAAAGCAATTAAGTAACAATTTAGATGTCGTATATTACTACATCATGAATTAAAGATATTTTAGAGTTCGATAGTTATGCCATATCAGAAGATCTCACTTTGATTATAATAATATTTATAAATGGACACACACCTCTTCAGCTCTCCCTAAGGACATTTATTCCTTAAAGCGGCTGATCTCAAAAGCGTCCATGAGATATGGTGCTGGAGAATAATGCTCCGGATACCTTAGACAGCGAAGAGAACCAATGTGTCTATCTTGCACCAACTATAGATCAAGACAATGCTGTCTACACTCTGCCTTCGCCGTGCACTCGAGTACTTCGGTCATATTGCTCGGAAAACGCCCGATAGCCTATAGAGACTATTCGCGACAGGGAAGATCGAGGGAAAGAGCCCGCGCGGGCGCAGTCCGACTAGATGACACACTAGCGCACTAGAGATCTCATTCCACGAAGCCCTTCATGTGGTCAATGATCGGAGGCGCTGGAGGGACATTGCAAGAAGTAAAATCCTGTCAAAATATGATGGTCACGACCCTCAGCTGTGAGGAAACGACGCGAGGAAGTGAAAGACATTACAATTATTTCTACTTCTACGAGACATTTTTCTCGGACTCACAGAACACCTGATGTTAAGTGGTTACTGGCAGCCCATAAACATCTACAACGTAAATGCACCACCCACCTTGAGATATAAGTTCTAAGGACTCAGTATAGTTACAACGGCTGTGCCGCCCTTCCAACCGAAACGCGATTATCAACAACGTAAATCATACTAAGGGAGGTTGAGAGATGGAAAATGCATTAGTACATTATTAGTCATTAGTACAATTATATCGTAAAAATGCATTTTTATGATTTAAAAAATTCGTTACGCAAAATTCTAAGAAAATGGGTGCTTGGAGTTATGTAGTTTACTCTCTGATTTAATATTTACAGTTACAGTTAATTCCATAATAAAAAATAATTATCTACGTTAGTGAAGCTCACCTTTAACATAGTTTTCAGGAAGAACAACCCTGGGCTTCAAAGTGTGATTCCGCTTTGAAGCAACATCATTGCAAAGCCTGAAACAAAAATTTTGCTTATCATGCATTTGTAGCGCATTATCTGAGCATTCGGCTGATGGGATATTTTAATCTTCCCTCAAACTATTTCGCTAACAAGTAAATTTAATTCCCTGTCCATTATTATATCACGATATGAAATTTATAAATTTGATCAATGATTCAATGGTCTCGATGATTTGTGGCTATTTGACCTGGAATACAGTAACCTCGGGATCCGGACTCGATTCCACGTCTGAGTAAATTTTTGCTAAAATAGTTTGGGATTCGGATCCTAAGTGGACTTTTCCATATCTTGTAACACAAGATAAGATCCTAGTTTCAAACTCTTCAAAATGGAACGTTTTATTGGTTAACACATAAACAACAGTGTAGTGTTTGGTAATTGTCTACAAAATTTTTGCTGTAACCCGCAAAAAATCTGAGGTATTAAAAATAAATTGCTTCAAGGATCAAAGAGGAAGGTTTATTCAAAGTGTATTACTGAATGTATCATTTAGTTTATTAATGGCTGTCAGTTAGTAGACAATTTCTTTTATATAAATAATTTGAGCTAAATCCTCAATTGTAAAACGTCAATACAGAGAAAAAAACAACATATGGCTTAGATATTTTAATAGGAATAATAAATCCGAAACACCATAAATCACGTAAACAGATTCAAATGTGAAATATAAGCGATCAAAAACCAATTCCAGAGATCGCTTTTAGAGTCATGACAAGACATTTAACTAAAGATTGATAAGTTAATCTCATTTGACAGAGAATAAAATAATGTTAAGAGCACAGATTAGAAGACGTCAAAAAGTATGCTAGACGATTCAGTAACAAAATCTAGACTAGGTTTTAACACGGAATGAATGATGTACGAAGACAGTGTTTCAAATTCACAATTCCTCCTCTTAGATCTCAAGGTTAGAGGTGTCATTCATTTGTTGATTGGGGTCTTATATTTTTTTTATATTTTCCTTACCTAATCGTTGGTAGCCTAAGAAGCTGTTTCAACTGCGCACGGAACGGTAGGTATTCTCACAGGCTCAACCTGACAGAATTGCTAACACTGACCCTAGCAACAGCAGTGCTTCGCTGAATCTATTACCAGATCGGAATCGCGACCCACTGAGAACATCCGGCGAGAAGCTCAGTGGGTTAAGGGGTACTAATCTCGTTGCCTGGTAATCTTAGCCATTAAAATTACTCATCTAAACTAAATGCCACCTTACTCGAATAATATAATATATAACAAACATACGTAAATAGTATAAGAACTTCACCAGTCCACACTTACAGACATTGCTTCTGTTTCCGGCAAATACCATAATTACCGTATAAGTTCAGCAGCGCAGTGCAAAATGGACTTTATGTAGTAGCAATAGGAATTGATTAACATATTGTTAATATCGTATGACGTCAATAGACATTGTTTTAGTGCCAACAAAGCCAAAGCTATTTTAGCAGGCTTGCATGTTCTACAGCTATTAAGTTCGTAAAACTGAAAGTTATAGTAATACCCGTACGAGACAGCTGGAAACATTTAATTATACTAGAGGTCCCGCAGTAGTCGAAATTCGACTATAATTAATTGAAATTGTAAGTTTGTAAACTATTATGATTGTATTTTATACTTCTATAATCACAAATTTCGCCAAGACTACACTATAAATTATATTAACAAAGACAAACAATATTTAATCTCAATTTGACAACAGACGTCAAGAACAAAAGTTTGACAATATATAGTATGCATGCGTGTGTGCGTTAAATACATGGTATGTAGTGTGTGTAATGTTTTCTTTATTGAATTAAGGTATCATTTATGCATTATTTTAAAAAAATATTAGCATTGTGCACTTCTTCTCTATATTCTCTATAAGTGTAGAAAATTTCATAGTCCTCCGTCCGCACAATTTTCGTAAAAAGGGATACAAAGTTTTTGCTTCACGTATAAATTAATATATAGGTATATAATTCTAGGTAAGTTTTGTTTATTGTATGGTTGTTTTAAATTTCCTTCCATTAGGAGAAATTGATTGGCTATCGACCCGAACTACCCCAACACGTTACGAACAAGTTTCGAGAAGTAACGTAGTCTCGGGCACTTCGTCAATACCTACATCGTAATTATTCCAATGGGGGGATAATTAGAACGTAGGAATAGGCCTATCTATATACAGCAGTAGCCAGAGGATAGGCTGAGATGATGATGAGCTATCCCACCATAATACACGACAGCTTTTGGTAGCGGGGTTGAAACATCTCATCATCATCCTATATGCTGGGACTCTTTTTTAATGATCGAAGGTTTACTGGTGACCTGGATGCCTTTTCAGATTTACCAGGACCGGCGGGCGAGCAAAAGCTTAGCCAGGAGGGTAATCTCTCATTCTCTCTCTCTCTCTCTCTCTAACGATTAGCATTTCTCGGAGCCTTAAGATACTACAACCTGATGCCCACCATAAAAATGGGCCGAAGGCTCAGTTCCTTTACAATAATCAAGCAAGATCGTGGTAGAAAGAGCCACAGTAGGAGCGTATCCCACGCATATTCAATATAGTTAGGAGAAGATGAGGGAGTTAGTTAAGAAAAAATAAAAAGTGGTACTAGCGTACGGTAAGTTTGTTTACGTTTTAAATCAACCGATCTTTAATTTGTTTAGATGTTTAATCTAAGTTGAACTGATTAGATTTACGATTTAACAAAGCTATGTTCAGTAATGAATGAAATTAAGTAAATACTCTAGCCACATTAATTATTAAACCTATGATTTTAGTTTTTATTTATTTATTTTTATTGCTAGATGGTTGGACGAGCTCACAGCCTACCCGAGTTAAGTGGTTACTGGAGCCCATAGACATCTACGACGTAAATGCATCACCCACCTTGAGATATAAGTTCTAAGGTATCAAGTATAGTTACAACGGCTGCCCCACCCTTCTAACCGAAACGCATTACTGCTTCACGGCAGAAATAGGCAGGGCGGTGGTACCTACCCGCGTGTACTCACAAGAGGTCCTACCACCAGTAATTACGCAAATTATAATTTTGCGGGTTTCATTTTTAATAACACGATGTTATTCCTTCACCGTGAAAGTCAATCGTGAACATTTGTCGAGTACGTATTTCATTAGAAAAATTTGTACCCGCCTGAGATTCGAACACCGGTGCATCGTTTAACACGAATGCACCGGACGTCTTATCCCTTAGGCCACGACGACTTCAGTCAATCGTGAACATTTGTCGAGTACGTATTGGTTACTTGTTTATCATATTTTGAGTACGATGAATTCAATTTGCATTTTAATATTAGGCAGCGATTTGGCTGTGTCCAGTGGCGGATTTACCCTAACGCCCGGTAGGCCCGGGCCTAGGGCGGCCAGATTTAGGGGCGGCCCCAATCGTGTTAGAAAACTTATTTTAACGTATGGCGGGCGAACTGTACCTACTGCATGGTGCAATCTATACCGCATCCTTAAATAACTAGTTGTAACAACTTGTGAAATAAAACTATTTTTTTGGAACGAAGTTCCTTATGGCAGGCTTGGAGGAGATAGGGATTTTGCTGCGCGATCGAACTGAAAAAAATGTGATAGTAAAAACCGTAAGAAAAAGTCCGTGGAATAAGGCCTTGTTTTCCGCACAGCGATATTTCACCGCGCGATTTTTTTCTCGTAATTCTTTTTTTTTTTTTTATATGGAACTTCGTTCCTATCCGGTGTCCCACGGCACCACACATCTTTTTTCCTAAATTTATAAATCTATTTAGATAAAAGTTGGCAATAAAGTAATTTCATTATATAGTCTATATGGTGGATGCTGAGAAAGGGGCGGCTGATGGCTTGGCGCCTAGGGCGGCCGAGGCTGCAAATCCGCCACTGGCTGTGTCCCTGGTATTGCTGATGTCCATTACCTAAAATATCTCGTCTACTTACATTGGCCATAACATAATGCACTCTTCTAGGAACACATCCCAAATACCTACAACAAATACCCACAACACATTCATAAGTTTATATTTAATTTTAACGAAGTTAGTCGAACCCTTTTAATTAATATTTTCTCTTCAGTTTTTCTTTATGCTTCTTCAAGTATAGTATTAATTAGTTCATCTCAAAAACAACTTGAGGTGACCGAACGATTTATTAAGTATTGCTGATCCCTGGCATCAAAAGCAGCTGCTTCTCATTATTAATCTTTGATGAAATTTTGATAAAGTAATAAATAATAGCAAGACACCGTGCTTTGGCGTGATTTTTTTTTGGTTATTTATTTATTCGGTACAAAACAAATTTATAATAAAATAAAAAATATAATAGGTATTATAAAAAAAGCAAGATTCCATTATCAAAATTACATTTGAATAGAAAGTGAACAAAGAAAAGATAAATATATAAATTTAATTTTACAAAAATAATTTGTACCATAATACAAATTTGTAACATAATAATATATGTAAGCATATGTAGTATATATATGTAAACATTCATATCTATTTCATGTGTATATATATTTTAAAATTTTATAATACAGATCGGTCATAAGTAATTTTAAAAATATTCCAAAATTGCATTTCTATATGAGACAAGTAATAAACAAAAGATATCGGAATTAATTTCATTTATTTCTTCATTTATAACAAGACGTAAGACAAGACAAAGCCCAGATGAAACAATAACATCGTGTAATGAAAATCAAACGTCCGAAACTACAATTTTGCGTAATTAATGGTAGTACTGCCTGTACCGTTGAATATAATTTTTCCGTCAATTTTTTTGAGCGGAAAATTTTTGCGTCCCAATTTGGAAGATATTTGAAATTTGACCTCTTATCGCTAGTCCCAATCGGAGTCAAAGATAATTGGTATTTGGGTATACTTGTTTTGTATCCTGTAGTGACTGCGATAGACAGGAAAATCCAATTTGTGGTCATTGAATTTCGAATGATAAATAGATGAGTGCACTCACCTTGGAGATCAGAGCCGCAATCTTAAAAGAACGTTTATA